ACAGGGATCTGCCAAACAATCCGGTGCCCAGTAGTGATTCATTCACCTCCATTGAATATCCTCGTCCAATAAGAACCGAGAGCTCTAACAGCCGTCTACTAAGTGCAAAGAAATTTATCGAAGTTCGTCTATTATTATTTGATTGGAATCACGATGAACGAACCAACTTGTGCAGCAATTCCAATATTTTCGCTATTTAAAATAACACTCTTAGAACTACTCATGTAAGCGTAAACCGGATGCGACAATAGTTCATGTATATAATTTCTCACACAAGACCAATCTGCAAAGAGACGAAATACAACCTAGGAAGCCTGCGCAGTGCAGTTAAACCCAACTGACAGGTATTTTATTACTGCTCTCCTTAATAATTAAGCATACAAAACAGATAAAAAAAAAAGCTAAACACGGGAAATCTTGATTGGGAATTACGAGATAGGTTAACTGTTGGAATGAGAAGACTGCGTTGATAGGACATCAATATCGTCAATTCTTTTCGACTGTTTTCTGCGAATAAATCTGTGATTCTATCGCTGTACTTTTAATTGTTTACTTCGCGGAAGATCGGCCGACTATCGACGAAGTGCAGAGGTAGTATACGCTTACCACAGAAGCGAGCTTGATACCCTTGCGTGAGATCCTTCCTGATCTAGCCTTTGAACAGTTAATATTCACATTTGGTGAGTAAATACGATTGGCATAAGCATTGTACGGTGATTAGAGTTTCACTGATCAATGCAAACCTGAAATGTTCATTCGGAACAAGACGATTCTCCCTGGATTTTCGACGACCAATTTTATTATTTTTTTATTGCACACATCTGTGATAACCAGCAGACGGAAGGAATCTCACGGTGGCAAAGACCTGCCGTTCAATTATGGCAGCTGGGAAGCTAGGCCCCAGGGCTTAGGGTGAGGGACAACCTAAGGCCTTGCTAGGTTAGGCATGGTATTACACCAGGGGAAAGCAAATAAGCCCTCCAAACGCTCAAGTTTGTGGACAGTAGTAAGAGATAACTCTGGCATTGTATTAGCACTAATATTCGACAATGGAACAGTATCACTGGCATCAGTCACTAGTCCTCCCATATGACTCACTCAAAAATACGATTCACCACAATGACGGTTCCACATTTAAGCAAAACGTAATATGACTTATTCGGCTAATTACTGCAAAACATTGAGCATCAATCTAAGCGTGGAGAACAACGATCCTGATGCTCACTTACCAAAAACAGTTCAGGAGCTGCATAAGGAGGGCTGCCACAGAACGTATTAAGTCGTTGGTCGTAGTCAAAGTTATTGGCCAACCCAAAATCAGCAACCTTCACGTTCAAGTTCCGATCCAACAGAATATTCTCCGCTTTAAGATCACGATGGACAATGCGTTTTGAATGACAGTATTGGATGGCTGAAAGCAGTTGACGGAACTTCATTCTCGCTTCCTTCTCTCTCATCTTCCCATTAGCGACAAGATAATCGAAAATCTCACCTGAACAACGGTTACGAAAAGACATCACTCACCTCCGCTGGCGTATTCCATAACCAAGCACAAGACATCTTCGTTTTCAATTATTTCAAGCAGCCGCACTAAGTAGCTTGAAAGCATGAACAACTGACTTACCTATGTTGGGATGATTGGTAACCTTCATGATGGTTATCTCTCGTTTAAGCTATATCATAGTTATGATTTGTTTTATAACTTACACGCTTCAAGAGAGTACTGTCCATTACTGTTTTGTTTATTATCTTGATAGCAACCTGGGAAACGGTGGCTAAATATAGCGTTACCACAACGCACCTCAGCACCAGTGGCCATGTGGATCGCAAGCTTGACTTTCGCAAAATTTCCCTTCCCGATAGTTCTCAGGAGTCTGTATTTTCCAACATTTGTCTTTGCATTTACAGTAGGTGCTACCGAGAGACGAAGACGTTCCTCTGTTGGCTGCGTATTCCCGGCACTAGTAGCTGCGTGAGTCACTGAATTTTCTTCGCCTTCTTTTTTAGTAGATTCCGAGTGTTTGGAAGCGTAATCTTCGGTTCCCCGTGTAACTTCTACCACAGCTTCTAGTTCTGACACAGGTGCCACGGTGGAATTAAAGAAGTCAGTAGCACAATTCGGACGGCTGCCTGTCTTAACCTCCATAGTGACACTAGATATGAGTTACGTCACCAACTCGAACAATACTGAGGTGACCGACATCAACTTTCTCATGAATGCGCAGCCACAATAACACAAACCATAGCCGGATTGGAGACCATTCCAACGACGCGCGCAAAAATCGCCTTTTGGTAATCGCGGTCGAGAATATCACTGTCGTTGATACATTAGAACTCAAGGTTCAGATCTATGTCAGACCACATGATCCGCAGCTGTTGCAAGTACATCCAGTTTCTTGCACTGGTGAGTTTCGATACTATTCCACTGTACCTCGACTGTGTGCGAAAAAAATTCAAAAGATTTTTAATTGGTCTGCGCTACACCAAGTTGTGTCCGCCGTCTTGAAGTCTTGAAGTGACTCTCGGGTTCGAGGCTCGCGCCCAATGGTCCCGGATATATTTCTGTGTGCTGTGTACTTCCATCTGTGGATTTTTGTGTAATTATGTGCAGCAAGGACACAAAGAGAATTTCTCCATGCTCAAAGTGCAAGATCGTCGGCCCTCGTGCGAAGGCCCTAATATGTGATAGATGTCAATGTTGGTGTCATGTTTCATGTATTAGCGTACCGCCAGACATGTATACAGCCCTCCAGTGGTGTGACTCCCAAAATTTGAAGTTTGTATGTGACGATTGTCTCCCTAAATTACGCACACCGAGTGTCGGCGGAGGAGTGCTGCCCTTTCCGACCGCAAGTGGGCTGGAGGATTGTGCGCAGCAGTCCGCATCAGCCGAGGCGCCGCCAACTGATACCGCCGATGAGTAGATACGACCGGAACGCAGACTTACAACTAATGACGCGCGACCGACCTCGAGCTAGAGCCGCACAGCGACAGCGATCGAGCCTGGATCCCCAGCGATTACGATCTCTGCACCGATTCAGACACCGCCGGCGCCACCAGCTTCGTCGTCCAGCACCAACCCGAGATCCTATGCCAGAGTTGCTGCTGCCACGCGTGCCCCCAATAGTGCTGTGACCAGCGTCACCGAACACCATGTGACCCAGCCAGCATCCTGAGGGAACCCCAACCCCAGGCCAATCCCCCGACCGGCCGTCGCAGGAGACCTGCGACGGGAACGCCCCTCAAGACAGCAATGCTTCCTAGCTGTCAATATGCCGGAGTGGACGGATCCCTCGGCGCAAACCCGGCCTAACGCGGACATATCCTTGCTTTGAGGAATCCTGGCCACACTCTTCGTCCCTAGTGAGGAAACACAGGCACAGGCGATACAGGTGAAGGCAATTTTTTGAAAATCCTTCCGAACCCATAATGATTTATGGTGAAATAACTTTATCTGTGTTGCTCTTTTATTGACATTTCTCGACCACGAACACCACGCATCATTATTTATCTGGTAATTTGGATGCCCGGTACAGTTGAATTTGGTGTGGTTTGAGAACGGGAGCGACTGCTTGCTTCTCTCTGGACATCTTATTTGATTCGCTTGTTTGAGTGCTTTTGGCCGCATATTTGAGGTTTGCTTTATTGTACATTTTGTAATGATTTCGTTAATTCAGTACCGTAGAACATTGCAGATCAATTGTGTTTTTAATTCGGGATTCGCATTGGTTCGGCTACGCGTCACTCAAATGCGAATTGGTTGACGTACAAAAGCCGCTTTCAAACTAGGAGCCAAACGGGAGGGCAGCGCCCCCTTCCACTGAAAGTCGCCCTCTGATCGATGGAGGAAACCAAGTCTGTATTCCAGTGAGCCTTCCGCCTGAAAGGGGAGCACGTCAGGTAACTACGCGACCTCGACGCGGCGAGTGGCTGAGGGTGAAGCAGGCATTAGCTGAGATCCATGAGCGTCGAGTAAGTGGTGAACAAGATCTCTTCATCCGGGATTTTCGGGTCCAGAGGAAGTGCCCACATTTCCGGTGGAGCCCTCTTGCAATACCGAACAGAGAGTCTCTTTCGGTGTAAACTGGAGGAACGCGCCGACGGCTGCCATCGACAGGCGAAGCATAGTGTCTGCCAATGTACGTAGTGTTTTGAGCAAACGAGACGAGTTGGAGGCGTTTGTCATGGAGCACTTCCCGGTGGTCATCGTCCTCAACGAAACCTGGCTCAACACCGACGTTCTTGACTCTGTGGTCTCTCTCTCGGGGTATGCGTCATTCCGTTCGGATCGTGCACAACCAAGGATGGGTGGGGGCGTCATGCTGTTTATCTAATAAAGTTTACCGGTTACTAACCTCTACAGCTACACGAATCTTGATGGTCAGGGAGAAGCGCTGTGGTGCAAAACCAAACTGTGCTGAAACGGTTACACGACGATAGGAGTCTGCTACAGACCGCCAGCGACAGCCCCGGTGGCCATCCTGGACGATATGCGTCGATGGGCTGGCCACGGCTACTGTTCGATTTAGGGTGACTTGAATATACCCCTAATAGATTGGAACAAAACTCGCTGCCTACCCGGAGCGGACCAATTCCCCAGAGACCTCGAAGTCGTGAACCATTTGACCCTGCATCAGCACTCCCGCGAGCCCACCAGGATCAACGATTCTGCCCAGTCAGTCCTAGATCTGGTTTTATCCTCTCGAACATCGGACGTCGACGTCATCGACCACCTCCCGCAACTCCGTTCGAGCGATCATTCGACCCTGTTAGTGCACTGGCGACGTGGAGCTCCGTTTCGCTCTCGGCCACATTCCGGACCCAATGGAAGGTTGTTGGAGAAGCTGATGGCTCAAGGTTTCACAGACTCTCTACTAGCATGGGTTGAGGATTTCCTCGTCCGAAGGACGTTTACTGTCAGAGTTGCCCAGACGAAGTTGTGTCGCTACCCTGTCACCAGTGGAGTGCCACAGGGCTCTGTTCTAGAACCTGTACTGTTTCTCCGTTTCGTGAATGACCTGCCCTCCCAGTTGAGTTCATCTTGCCTCCTCTACGCGGAGGATGTGAAACTGTGGAGAGCCATGAGAGTACCGGAGGACCACCATGCCTTCTAAGAGGATTTGGACAAGTTGCACCACTGGGCTGTCGTCTGGGAGCTTCCATTGAACTCGTCGAAATGCGCTCATACGCGCCTGGGACGGAATACACCGGATATTCTTTATCTAATGAACAACGTCCCAATGCGTTCGACGACTACCGAGAGGGATCTGGGGGTTATCATCTCCGCATCCATAAAGACACAGACGAACACCGCGCGAGGATATTCTACGGCAAGGAGCATGCTAGGTACCATCCGTCGGTCGTTTGACGGCTTGTCGTTCACGGCCTTCCAGAAGCTGTTTCCTCCCATGTTCGCCCTTGACTTGAATACGGTGAGCCCGCTGTATACCCCTGAACGCTTTCCGAAATGGCCAACTTGGAACGGGTACAGCGCTACCCCACCCGCCTAGTCGCAGGACTTCGCGGGCTCCGCTATGAAGGTCGGCACTTGAACTCTATCCGGTTAGCTACAGGAGACTCCGCGGGGATTTGATCTAACTGTGGAAGATTCTACGTGGAGATCTGGGACCGGGGTTACGTGATATGTTTCCACTGCGAGTTTGCAATTGGACGCGCGACCACAGGCTCCCTTCGGGAGCTTGAGTCGACGGGGCTTCCGCGGGTCTATCGCCTTTCCCGGAGGGCAAATTCCCTCGGGAATTCACTCCCGTCGCAGGTGATGGAGAAGCAGAACGAGGCGCGTTTCAAACTCCGTCTCGACTAGCACTTGGTGAGATGACGGCAGCCTGCAGAACACTGAGCGGGTTGCCATCGGTACCGGGGGTGAAGAGGCTCATACGGGCGCGGCCCCTCTGCCTCCTCAACACGAAGATGAAGATAAATTCAAAATTCACATCACATGACGTAGAGAGGCCTTCGCCTGTTGGGTGGTATGGTAATGGCGAGTTCCGTCCGTGAACCGAATCGCCTGCGAGAGTTTTTACTTCTTCCGACTCTCCACAAAGGGAGCAATATCTAGAAGGTGGAATGAAAGGAAGGATGTGCAGTATCTGTTATGTGCAATTAATCAGTAAACTAAAAGAACCCTGATATCTAGGGTGGATATGGGAAAAAGAGAATATGCCTTTTCCAGCCCTAGTTTGAAACCCTTCATTGTGGTACATTCATTTATTTGAGGTGGTAATTTGTTCTATGGAAAAAACTGCATTTGCAAAGAAGTGGTACCTAATTGCTAACCTGCTCCTGGGTCTCTGAAGTGTGCAACAGTGTCCTCGGAGTATGTTGTTGGCCCGCAAAGTTAACAAGTGCCAAATGGGTGACTGCTCTATGTTCCTGGTGGCTCTTGTAGTGACCAACCACATCTCATTCTACATGTACGCTTCCTCCTGTACATTGTTTTATCACACACCGCCGTACATCATCCTCTCACTCATTTGCTCCGCAGTAATGCAAAAGACGTGTTCTACACTCCTGAGGCTCTCAAAGCGTTTGACACCCCCAAATCAGCCCTCCAGGATACCACCATGTTGTTCCACCTCAACTCATCTTCATCCACTCAACTGGTGCTGCATACCGACGCGTCGAATCATGCCATTGGAGTGGCACTTCATTATTTAGTCGCAAATGTCCAGCAGCTCTTGGCTCTCTATTCACAGAAACTTTCCCCATCCCAAACTAATTACAGCGCCTTTGATCGCGAATTACTGACAGTATACATTGCA